ACATGACATTACAAGTATTCAAGATTATTCTAATATAAAAGCATCTAAGACTAGGACATTTTCCCTGCAACTCCTTCAGTGTGGTTGTGACCCTCCGTGATTGAGTGTTGATATTTTACACCGGCGCCACACTTCTGCATCGTCTGCCTCTCGACTCCACGTTTCTTCTACTATACCAGTTACTCCGTGTCTTGTTTTTCTTATTTTTTAAATTAAGTATTGTTTTCGTGACTACCAGTAAATCAGTAATATGAGATTTATTCACCCAATTTCGTTTTTCTTATTTTTCTATTTACTGACGAGCACTTATTTCAAGTGAACATTAAAGTGACTAAAGTCCTATTGCGGTACCTTTTCACTACTTTTTTTCTCAATTCACCATCGTTCAGCCAAGAGAGCCTCTTCACAGTGCTCAAAGCCTACACCGTTCGTCATGTTGGCAAGGGCTACTGTCAGGGCCAGGCTCCCATCGCGGCCGTCCTTCTTATGTTCATGCCTGAGGTTGATGCTTTCTGGACCTTCAACCAGGTCTGTGAGCGCTACCTCGAGGCATACTTTGACGAGGGCCTGGTCAGTAACCATTTACCTTTTAATTAGTTTTACTTCTGCCTATTCCTTTTTAATTTTAGAAATATTAAACATTATATAATGTCACTAACCTTCCTCATAGGCTTTTCAGCACTTCTAAGTATTTTGTGCCTCTACTCTTTTCCTCAGTGTCAGCCTAGCTCTATATAAATGCTATTTTTAGCGCTAAAATTTGAATATGATTGATTTCTTTGTTTATACCGCCAAATTTCCTTAAACAATCTTTCTAACTCAGGCGAAATTATTGCCAGTTCCGTTGTTTGTCCATAATGGGCTTTATTTATAACCATTTTAATGTTTGCGATCATTTTATTCTTGGAATTAATATGAGGTTTCGCTTGGCTTGTGAATAAAAATTAATTTTATATCGAGCACGAAATTAGATTAAGGCCCAAATATACGAACAAACACAGTCTTTACAGATATACTGGTTAAAAAATTTGTTAAAATAAGGTGTTTTTTCTATTAAACATTAATCTCAAAATTTTAGCATTTCATGCTTTCATTAGAAAAAAAAACACATTTCCTATTAGCGATTGCATTATAAAGACTTAGATATGTAGAACTCCATGACCGATTCAGTAGGATTCGGAGCTATCAGTAGGACTTTTATAAGTACTCAAGTTAACTTATGTCGATAGCTTTAGGCAAAAATCGACTTATTTGGACGATCGATTTCGTATGTTTATGTTCAGAAATTTATGGCT